AAAGATGGTCCACTTTGGAAGATGCCGACGGTCCAGAAATCGGCTTTTGGCCAATCTGGAAGTCAAGAATGTCGAAGCAAACTGCAAAATGTTGTGGTTGCAGTTCACTTTCGATGCGTACACGCCGACTTGGTCGCCTCATCGGACATGATACTTCTGGCAGTTGCCACCCTCGCACGGTCGACATGGTACAGTGCCTCGTGTTTCGCCGGCATCGCCAACGCATTCTGGCCATGCTCAGCGCCGATTGCACACAAAACTGGTGCTTTCACGAATTCTCCTTCAGGGCCGGCCCAGTTACTAAACTTGGCTTGGATTAAAATTGTACTTTGTCAATTATTACCCATTCCTCTTGACCGGTTGTCGAGCTAAAAGGGCATTTGTTCCATTGATAGACTCAATTAGGCGAGAGAGAGAGACAGAGAGAGACAGAGAGAGAGAGAGAGAAAGAGATCAGACGCAAGAGTTGTGTTGATCCCATTTCGTTTACGGTGAAGAAGGATTGTTAGTTGTTTTTTCCCACAAGACATGAGCAGAACTGACGTCTGCAATGTCATCATCCCGGCTCGGGTAGACTGCACTCCCGCCCCCCCCCTTCCCCCCAGTGGGAGACGAACCATGACAATGCGGCGTGTAGGCTTGACATGTTAACCGCTACTCGTATTATCTCAACCAATCGACGATATTACTTATTTCGTTAGTGAGTAGCTCGTCGAGACTGCCAACAATTCATGTCTGCTCACATGCTTGTGGGAAAAAACAACTAACAATCCCGCATCATCTTTGACAAAATAGGGTGAACACAACTCATGCATGTGATCTCTTTCTCTCTCTCTCTCGCCTGATAGAGCCGTGCGTGTGAAAGTATATGATTGGTTGCCAAATGACTTGGCGATTGGAGGTGAGAGTGAATTGGCCGTCGGCCACCCTCTTCTTGGCGCAAGTTGTTTGATGCCATTTTTAGTGAAGCACGCCTTCTCGACAGCGGATCTCGGCTGCATCGAAGCGGCAGCCCCCCACCCCCCGCCTCGTCACGCCACGGCAACTCTTCGTCTTACGCCTCCATAAATTCTCTCAAACCAACGAGAGAGAGAGAGAGAGAGAGAGAGAGCGAGAGAGA